CATAGGTCAGGTGTGTCAGAACACACCGTGTGGAGGCTGCCCTCCCCTGCAGCCCCCGTGGCAGACATCGAGGGTAACCCGCCCCACCCAGTGTAGACCTCAGAAATCACCATTCTGTGCTTGGAGCTGGAGGGGCAGACTCCTCACCATGCCCAGAGCAGCAGTGAGTTCTTCAATGACCTGACCCGGTCTTTTCACAAAAGGCCTGGTTCTGTAATTCCCTGGCATAGTGCAGAGTACATGGAGGGCGGAGAAAACCTTTGCTGAACTTGTTCAGACTCTTAGAACATGTGCCTTTTGGTAGCTACTCCCCAAATGCAAATTCTCTGAAATGCGTTTTCTTCGTTTCTTAGAGGAAACTAGCAAGTTAATTTCTAAAGCTCTGGGATTCGATGAAGAAATGGGTTACTTCTGAGCTGGCTCAGCTTATTCGCATCAGCGACCTTCTCCCCAGGTACTCAGGGCGAGGGTGAGCTCAGAGAAGAGGGCTGTTCCCGTCATTCAGGGACCGATTCCAACTGGTCGTCAATGGAAATAGCGCCTTCCAGGGCAGGTGGCCTCTCTCCGCCTCCCCTCCTCAGAGGGGTGGGAACTACCCCATCCTGGAAGATAGGAGCATCCAGCGGCCCAGGGAATTCTCAGGACGCTGAAGGGGTTGGTTCTGGCCAAAGAGAACTGAGCAGTGGGAAGCGGTAGAAGTGGGTGGGCAGACGGGAAGGCATGCTGGGAGTGACCGGGAGTCCCTGTCCAGTGAAGGCCACTGCCCAGGTGAGAGATGGCGGAGGGGCAGAACAAGAGGGTGAGGACAGAAGGCTGGATGGGACAGGAGGAAGATAGGAAGGCATACTCGCCCGGTCGGGAAGCAACAAGAAAGGAGGATGCTTCCGAACACTGTCTGGGGTGTCCGTGGAGCACCAAGCGATGTCAGAATCCAGACAGTCAGACACCCAGAGACAGAGCGACAGGACGGACAGCAGTGAAGGAAAACCCACAAGGAGCGGGCAGGGAAAGGGGACGGCGCAGTGTGCAGGGGTGAGAGAATTCCGAAGCCATGGTCTAGTGGGGGGTGGGAGACTGGGAGGAGACTGGGGGGACAGGGTGAGTGGAGAGGACAGGGTCCCTCACCCTTGGCTGTCAGCTTGGGAATTCAAAGAAGCCCCTTCCAAGTGGCCTTCATCAAGGCCCAGAAATGAAAGAAAGGGTCAAGGGGCTAAGAGAGTTGAGAGGAAACCAGGGCGGACCCTCCCTGGAGTAAGGGAGGGTAAGGGAGCACACAGAGCTGCACTGTTACTGGCGGCAAATCGGTTCCCTGGGCCTTAAAAGGAGAGCGGAGCAGCTGCTGGAAGGGCCAGTCGATGACACCGTGAGCTGAGCTCGGGAGCCAGTTTCCAGCAGAGCTCAGGGTGCCGCTGGTGGTGCGGCCCTGACACGCCCCCCGGCATGCCACACGTGATGTGTTAATCAAACCTTAGGTGACGAGCCTCTGTCTGGCTCAGGGCTTTTTAATTCAGGTCCCATTGCAGCAGACTCTTAGCACTCCTTTCTAATTCCCAGGTGGCGGGGGTTTCCAGGGCCGAGTTCTCCACCCTCCCTGCCATTCCTCCCTCCCCCACCTCCAATGGCCCAGAATACTCTATGCAGCTAAACGTTAATTTAATTCGGATCCTGAGAGTGGGAACCAGGCGAAGGCAGCTCAGGCCCGACAGGAGAGCGAGACTTACAGGTACCTGACTGGACAGGCCCAGGCTGGCGGCCGGCGTCCTCCTCTTGCTGCCGGCACTGTTGGCGTTGTTCCCTGCGCTGCTGTTGGAGGTGAGGCTGGTGGAGTTTTTCCTTTTCCTCCGTTTGGTGGTCGGTTGTCTGGTCGGTTCCGCTGCGGTGTGGGGAAGGGAAGAGGGTCAGCTCCAGGGCAGGAGCAGGGCACCGCCGGCACCGGGCCCGCGATCAAGTCTGTGTAAGACAGCTACTTGGCTTTCTTCTGCGTCTCGTAATACTACAAAAATATAAGGCGCTATTGATTTATTTTTAGAGTAAAACAGGAGTAGGTCCTTTTTGTATGTAAATGAGATGATTTTTATTCGATTTTCTTTATAATTACATGTAATGAGTGTATTTTAAGAATGAGCTATAAGTATTTACTACTTTGACCATTTAATTTAAAATATTATTAACATTAAACATTTTGGAAACTGTTTTTCCTGCATGCTCTCTGACACTGGAGGACTCCTGGGACCCCTCGGCCTGGGGGCAGGAGAGGCGTGAGCGGCAGAGGGACCGTGAGCTCGGAGCAGCTGCCCAGCTGCAGCCTCCTCTGTTACCTCTCGATATTCTCAGGGGAGAGAAGAAAAGCCTGGCTCTGTCACCATGAGTGTGGAGTTAGGGATTCCCAAGTTCAGTCAGAACCCCGAGGTTTCGGAATCCCTGGAAAACGACAGCTCGGCCTGGCACGGGCAGCAGCTCAGTGGAAGGGCACAGGCCTCCTGGAGAGGGGCTGCACAGAATGGAGCGTGCTGGGCAGCCCTCAGGTGTCGGGCTGTGGGGGAGCGAGGGGTACTTGTGCAGAGTTCGCGCTCTGCTGGGCAGTAGCCCTGTCTCCATATGAACTGTTTAACATTCGCAATAGCCCTGCCGGCCAGATATTCCCCTTACAGCCTCGGCTTATAAATGGGACGGATTCAGAAGCCTCTTCCAGGCAGTTACTGAGAGAGCCAGACACGTGAGAAAGAGCCCCCTTCTTGCAGACCCTGTTTCCTCAACTGCTGGAGAGGGGGCAGCAGGAGCTGACGGGACCTGAAACGCTCTGTGACCGACCGCGGGGCCAGTAGGTGGCAGGGCGGTCACACCGCTGGACTCCCAGGTGGTCAACTACTGTTCAAGTCTGGTGGCTTGAAACTCACACCAGGTGTGTGCGTGTGCGTGCCCGAGAGGAGAGTGGAGGAGAAGGGATTGCGGGTGGCCATCCCCCGGGGATGATTTCTCACTTTCTGTCTCTCTGTCTCTCTCTGTGTCTCCTGCAAGTGCACAAGCCCTATAGCAGATCTCTCTCTAGAAAAGAAAAAAGGCTGAGAATGAGAAGATTCTCTTCTCAGCGCGTTTCAAAGACCACCTGGTCCCTACGCTACTGTTGCCTTTCAGTGAAGAAGATGGGGTGGTGTTTATATTTACCCACTATTTTGTGTGTTGTGTCATAGACATTTTCTCTCTTATGCTCACAGATTTCATCAAAGTGTCTGTCATCTCTGTCAGCAGTTATGGCATCTCTCTGAAGGGCGAAAGCGCAGGAAGTGAGCTCCCCAGCCCACGGAGTTGGGAGGAGGTTGTGTGGGACACTTGAAGTCAGGCAGACTCCAGACCCCGATGAGCATCTCCTGCCTCCGACCTCGAGAAAGTAAGTGCGCCAATTTATTTATTTATTTATTTTTAGGTTTTTGCCATAGGGTTGCATGTGTGCTTGCAGAGAGACACAGAGAGACGGAGACAGGGAAAGTGAGACGTCGTATCCCGCTCTCCCCCTTCTCCTCCCTTCTTCTGGGGTTTCGGGCACACATGCACATGCAGCCAACATGATTTTCAAGCCACCATGTCCGAGGCTTGAATTGCGGTCAGCCATGTTGGAGTTCAGCATGCCACCCGTTGGCCCCAAATATGCCAAGTTTAAACATCTGTCCTTCGTTTATGAAATCTGGAGCAAATGTACCTCAAATGCACACTCTGGATCCCTCCCATTGGCAGCACGTGGCTGTGGTAGTGAAATCACAGACTTAGGGGACTTAAGCCTTTTTGTAACACAATCCTCCTTTATTTCTAAGTCATGAGACTGACTTTGTCAAGTGGCTGGAGTCTCAGGCCTCACTAAATGAAATCAGAATGACAGTTAACATCTCAGGAGGCCACGGGGAGGTCCCACACCCCAACTACCATTGGTGCTGCGGCCAGGTCTCGAGCAGTGCCCGGCACCTGATAGGGCCTAGGAGATAGTTGTTGGATGAATAAACTTATTAATGAAAAATATACGAATTCTACACATTTCTATTGAAAAATATAGTCACTCAAAGCATTTCCTAAGTGACCGGAGTTATTTTTTTCCATAAAGGCTTATTGATATCAAAAGAGAAAATAACCCAATTTAAGCATATTGAGTATATTTGAAACTCTAAAAGTCTAAAATTCTCCTAAGATGGGGATACAACTGTTCTGTATAAAATAATGTCCACTTCCACAGCTTCCTGAAGTAGGTTCTTGGTTAACACTCCATTATATTCACTCTATGTAAGGTCCCTGGCCAATTACCAGTGGAAGGTGACCATTACACTTTGTGGCTCAGAAAGGTACGTGCCTCGTGTTAATAATTACTCTCTATAAAATAATTTTTAGCAAATGGATACATTTTGCTTTTATGATCAGTGGGGCTCGACACATGACTGGAAGTGAAAACGTCTGAGACAGAAAGCCCATGAGCAGGGACTGTTTAGCCAGACTGCATTCCGGGGAGGTGAGGGGATGGCATCTCTGTGTCCTCTTACGATCAGCACAGCTTTCCATGCAGTAGGCCTCAGGAGGTGGAGCGGAATGGGTCTTTTTCTTTCTTTCGCTCCTTCCTTCCATCCTTTCATCCTTCCTCCCTGTCCTTCCTTCTCACCCTCTTTTCATTTCTTCCTTTTCATAGTTTCTATCTTTTTTTAAAGAGATTTTTGCAATAGAGCATGTATGCTCACCAGAGAGACAGAGACAGATAGAGAGACAGAAAGCAAGAGATCACCCAGATCACCCTCAGGGGATGTCCACACTACAATCCTTCCTTCTCCATTTTCCTCTTGGGATCCTGGGCACGCATGCACATGTGCACAGTGTGAGTTTCAAGCTGCTGGGTCTGGGACTCGAACCAATGTCAGTCATGTGGAGTCCAGTGCCTTAAGCGCTATGGCACTTGCTGGTCCTATCATTCTTTTTCTTAAGTTTGTTTAGGAGTTGGCCTGGCAGCTCCATGGTTAAGTGGTGGATCTCATATGGCTGACTATGGCTGGACTCCCAGCCCCAGCGGCTTGAAAAACACACCTTGTGTGTCTGTGTGTGTGTGTGTGCGTGCACATGTGCACCCTAAATCCTGATGGGTTGGAGAAATGAGGAGGTGATTGTCATGAGACTTTCCCATGGGGGGAGTATTCTCTCTCTCTCTCTCTCTGATAAGTGTATGTATCCATAGGCAAGTAAGTTTCTTTCACAGGAGTGAGAGAGAGAGAGAGAAGCACAGGGTCCGTGTTTTGAATCTCCCTTCCCAGCTAGTGAGACCACAGACACAGCCAGCACGAGAAATTTGACCTGGAACCCATTGTCTCTCACACAGCTTCCGGAGTTGCAGAATATGGTGGCTGCTCTGAGTCACCTGGTGTGGCTTCATCACTCTTAATCCTAAACCACTTGTGTTAGTCCAGCCCGGAGTCTGGTCCAGCACAACAACCACTCTACGGGACACTGGGAACCCCGGGTCTGACCTCAGCTCGCCAAAGACCTTCTTGATCACTTCAAATGCGTCATTTACTTCTCTGGGTTCCAGGTTCAAATTGGCTGGCTAGGAAACCAGACCATTCCTGAGGATATTTGCCCTTCACAAACTCCATGTCTCTGTCCAAAATGGTGACCGGAATATCTCTAGTGAGAGCCTTTTGTGACACATTTATGACCACCTCCCTTCACACCCAAGAGAAGGTTCTGAAAATGCACTTAGAACCAGAGTGAGGTGAGGGTGTACCTGGCGGGGCCACCATGCGCTGCCACTTCTGAAACAGGCAGGTCTTGAGGCAGTCGCGAGGGCTGAGGTTGTAGGTTTTATGTCTTGACATCAGCTCCTGCATCGGCTCCAGGATGACACAGAGCTGCAAGGGGTTCAGAGACATTGGAGTTTGCTGGTATTAACTGCAGTAAGTAGTGTTAACAGCTGGAAAAGGTTAACTAGCTCGGAGGTACTCTTCTCCCTGGTTTTCATTTTCTCCATACGAGTTTGGAGGAAAAGAAATATTACCAACACTTGATTATACCCACGTAATTTTAGTATCACTCATAATACTGTATTATAGCCAAATGTGATTGACACACATACCTGGATGCACCCGTGCACACGTGTGCACACACACACAGACACACACTTTCTGTATGGACTATGGGGTGGAAACCTAGAGCTCTTCTGAATTCAAGTGACTCTCCGGTTAAAGACAAAAGCTCTGGTCTATGGCGGGCACACGCTCTTCTTGCACACGCACACACTCGGATTATAATACTGGCGTGTGCAGCCCATCTTGCAGAGAGGTCATGCTCTGAACTCTGGAGAATGGGGGGGGGGCGGTGGGCCCCGACCCCAGGGCCTTTGACCCTAATTCTTACAGAGGCAGCTTATTTCTCTTCATGACCCATTTGCAATTCATACGTGAAGACACGCAAATTACACACACTGGCACTCAGTAGGTGTGCGTGGCTTCTCTGTGGCTCTGCACAGTCGTCTGCTCATGGCCTTTGGTTAGTTTCTCAGCTTTACTTTGGTCCAAAACATGACTGAAAAGTTAACAGGTGCAACAGGACCACATGTGTGGCCTCGGCTCTTCTGGACGCCTTCTCAGTGGGAAGCCTATCAGAATCTCACTGCAAGAATACCCTCCGAGGGCAACGACATGGGCTGATGCTGCATGAACGATGTTGCACTTAGAGTGATGCAGACATTGGTGATGCACTGCCACGTGGAAAAGCATCGTTTTAATAAAGGACAGGTGTGCAGTCTCCAGCGTCAGCACCCCCCCCCCTTATGCCATCCCTCACCTTGAGCAGTCCCCTGGGGCCACCCACTGTGTCCTTTGACTCCTGCGGGGATTCTGCCTGGGCTCCCCTCGCCAACCCCCTCACCCTCAGGGTGTCGGAGTAGGTTCCCAGGTAAACGATCCTCCAGGTGCACCTCCCCGGTGCAGGCCGCCGGGTGTGTGTGCTCTGTTCTCCGCAGCCCGGCCCTCTCACCTGTCTATAGGCTTCGTAACATCTGCTCCCCAGTCTGTCTCCCCCGGCCATGAGTCCTCTGGATGCCTAGACCATGTCTGTATCCCTGTCTGCCCAGGTCTGCCTTCAATGAATGCATGTGCTAAGAAGCACTTCCTAGGAAGACTGGAGGACCCTTCTATACTCATGTCCCCAAAGCGTGACCTAAGGAACACTCCCATCAGAACCAAATGGACACAGACTTCCAGACTCTGCCCCTTCTACCTCCCTGGATCTGGAGATGAGGCCCTGAAACTGCCTTTTAAAAAACCACATCCCCATGGCATTGTGATAAACGCCAACGGAATTTGAGGCCCACTGTCTGCACAGTCTGAGTGTCACAGCAGACCCCAGCAGCAGGACACCTGTGGAACCCTAGTGGCATCCAGCGCTAACCCGTTCTTCCCACGTCCTCCCCTCCCCCATGCTCCCTTCCTTCTCACGTCTCAGGGTGACACTCAGGATCCCTTTGCCCCCTTTTTACCTGTCAGTAACCTAAATCTGCTAAAACCACTAACTTCATTGGAGGCGCAACTGTAATTTTCTTCATTCGCAGTTTCTCTGGAAAAGACATCAAGATTTCAAACCCTCAGCTACAAGAGCAGTGTACAAACAGGGGCCATGCCCAGACCGAGAGGGTGAGTGAGCGGCCCCGGCTGTGTGTTGGCCTTCGGTCTGCACCTGCGTGCTTATTTGAAGTCCTGACTGAGATCCAAAAGGTCTCCGTAGATCGTGACCATGAAGGAGGCGGGATGGCTGTTTAATTAGCTCAGTATTCCAACCCTGTGTATCCTCAATGAAGAATTCCTTTCTGGAAACCAAAGTAAACTCACTCGCACCTGGCATGAGTTTAAGCCACTGGGTCTGCAACTCGAACTGCGGTCAACTACATGGGAGTCCAGCGACATAGCCATTATGCCAACTGCTGGTCCCAAGTTAAATAATTTTTTAAAGGATGGTTATCCCTCACTGCTCAATTCAGGGTCAAAGATGTTTGCATCTGTTATTAGGCAAAGATTGTAAGAAAGGCTTTCTGAAAAATTCTCAGGGCAGGGAAATACTTTCAAATAATAATACTAATAGAAGTTAAAGGTTTTCCAGCTACTTCTCTTTGATGCAGTTCCTGTTGGCTGTAAATAGTTTGTAATGAAGGTGAAATACAGGTGGGCTATGGGACAAGCTGGGACTTAAAGGCTGAGCAGGGCAGTGTGGGAGTGGGCCGTGCAGGTCAGCACCAGCTGCTGCTGGAGACAACGCCCACCTGCACATCGTGAGAACGGGAGTGTGCCTAACGCGTACGAGCTCACGGTCTGCAGGTATCACGGCTGCATGTTAGCAAGCACAGTGCAGACTGCAAGGCAGACCAGTCTCTGTTACTTCAAATCAACAAGCACTAATTGAGCTTCCTCCTAAGTGTCATCACTGACTAGGTGCTGGGGACACAAAATGAGAATAACGCAACCTCGGTCCTCACAGAGTATTCTGTCTCCTTAAAAATTACTTAAACATCCTAGGAAACATACCCTACAGTTCTAGTATCTCAGCAAATCACACCTTTCTAAAGAAGTATTTTCCATCATATGACAGCTGAGATGGCAGGACCGGAACGGACTGCCGGCATGGAACGTGCTACAGAATGAGGGAGTTATGTCGGCTGAGAGAAACCCTTAGCTCATTATCTCTTTCGTTTTTACAGTGCCTTCCCTCTCTGGGTTTTAGCCAATGCTTTTTTTGGACGATAATCTTCAAAATATATCCCTTCCCCTTTAATGTAAAAATATCTTCCCATCTCCATAAGTCAACCCAAAGGAGCTTGCATCTGAATGCTAATCGAGAAGCCCCAAAGCCATTTTTCTTCCAGGGGAGAGTTCCTGGGCTGGAGAGGAGCCCTCCCTCCCAGCGTGCCAGAGAAGGCTGCTCTCTGCAGCACAGATGGGGGCAGCGTGCTGTGGGTGGCAGGGCTCACTCAGATAAGCCCGTCTTCTCCAGTATCAAGCCCGGGCACCTTGGCAAGAGCGAGAGGCTGGGCGCCATGAAATGAAATCAGGAAGACAGTCGGGGGGCGTGGGTTCCGGCAGTCACTAGAAAACCCTTCCAGAGCCCTGATTCCTGCTCTCCCCGAGGGCTGGTACTCAAATCAGGCAGAGGCTACACACCCTGTCTTTCAATTTGGTATGACGTTCCTGGAGGCTGATGTATCCTCTGTGGCCTCTTTATTCACTCCAGGTAAAGTCCTCTGTCTTGTAAGTGTGAACTAGGCTACCATGTATATGCCTTTCCCTATCCTGAACACACATGCACACACACACGCACATGCGTACCATTCAAACACACATACAGGACTGAGAGTCACAGCACAGGATTCTAATTTTGAAGCACAATTTTATGTGCACCGTTGGGGCTATTAATAAGTTCCAGAGGTCCGGTCTCTGCTTGAAGAAAAAGGCCAAAACCCGTGGGGCTGGGTCTGGTCCGCAGCGCTTCACACAGGGCCGCAGCTTAGTTTGGGAGCTCCTGTGGAGGTGCTGGAGGTACCGGGAGGGCTCCTGGGGCCTTGTGGAAGGGGCAGGGACTGGCGAGGCCTGGAATCTCGCTTGGAGTATGAAGCCCCTACACCTGTGGTTTCTCCCCAGGCCTGGTGGTGCCCCAAAGAAAGCCCAGCCTGCCAGGGACGTTTCTGTTTCTCTAGTACTTATTACTAGTCCTCATAAATCCGGGTTTGTGTCTGCATTGTGAGTTCCTTTCCTTATGGACTGCTCCTCTCCTAGCTAAGGTAAGCCCTGTTTTACTTTCCTTTCCTCTAACACAGTGTCAGGTATACCTGAATGTTTGTTGGGTCATAACTGGATAGCTATGGACTGCTACCTGCCAGTCTTTGAGGCAGTACATTGTATCTTTAACCTCACTACCTCCTGGCCCACTGCTGGTGAGAAAATTCAGACCCAAAGTCATTAAGTTGCTAGAGCTGACATTAAAGAGTGCGGTTCTTAGATGTATCAAAGGCAATTTAGCCACCTGAAGGGCAGAGAAGAGGTTCAATCAAGTTTGACTCCAGCTCTGGGCTCTACTCCTAACTGCTCTGTTGTCTCCCCCTTAAATGTGAGCAGCTTCACACATGGAAGAAACCAAGTTCGAAGGGTTTGTCCTGTTAGTTTTGCTCCTTGCAGTTGGCACCAGGTAGCAGGGGAGGCAGCCACGAAGGAGCCAGCTCTGGAACCAGTGTGGACAGAACTCTGACTACTTTTCCTATTTTTCCAAAATCTTTTCAAAAGGGGACTGGGGCAGTCATGCCCACAAACATTAACAGACCATTTACTTTCTATTAACAGGATTCTTCCTACCTCCTGTCCCTGGCATAGTACCTTTGAGATGCATATTTCAACCATCACAGTATATTCTTATGCTTATCTCTTCCCAAGACACAGAACTTCCCTTTTTCTTGAGATGTAGATTAAGCCTTTCTTTAAGGAAGACAGGGATTTTCCCTTCCAGTCGCTGATCTAAGAATTTGTGGAACCCACCTATAACCTACAAGCACCCCGCTTCTACATGTCCCGCCTTATTGGGCCAGACCAATGGGAAATCTTTTAATTAAATGTTGGGTGTCAATCTCAAAAGCAAATAAAAGGAACCTATGTACATGATCACCCTGAGAAAAGGCATGTATGCCTCTTCTCCGGGCCTAGGTCACTCACAGTTGGCTTGGAAATAAACCGCATTAATTATTAATTATTAATTTTACAGTTGGTTATATTTTTTCCGTCGACACCAGACTCACCCGGATTCGAACCCTCCAGTCTGCCATTACCAGCTCTGTGTTTTAGCCTCTCAGAACCTCAGTTTACACTTCTGTAAA